GGAAGGAAGGAAGGAAGGAAGGAAGGAAGGAAGGAAGGAGATTAATTGTCCTAGAGATAATTGCTCCTGCAGGCAAATCTGAACTGTTTATTTGCCTCCAGTTGGGAGCACAAGTATCTCCAGAGACTGCACTTGTTCTGGGTAAAAGAACAGGTCAAGTCATGGCAAATCAAATGTATTAGTAAAACCAAACACCTCACTTCTATTTATTTATTAGCTTAGTATTAGAGGTAGTACTCAAGATGAGTTTCTTTACCTTTAAAACACCACCTCCACAGCATTTGCTAGTGAATATTAACCATTCCCAGAGTCTGAAACCATTCTAAATTAAGAAAGAAAGAAAAAAAAAAAAGTTTCTTACTTATGTAAACTTTTGAATACGGAATAAATCAGGAGTGAGCCTGGCCAGAAGGAAAACATTTATCTCAGATTTGTAATGCCAGCAAAAGAGAATATGGACGGAAGATCAATAACACTCATTAGAGCTTTATCTACAGCTCAGCTCTAAAGTGACATTAAACACAAACTTTACATGATGCTGGATGAGACTGGTCAAAAAATCTAGCAAAGAACATGCTGACTCATCTGACAACAAGATATAAAGAGAGGCCAAAAAAATGAAAAGCCTCAAAGGACAGAAATATCATCTACAGAATAACCACAGATTTTCTTGCTGGAGGCATGTTTACAGTTTTCCTGCTTCTACTGATTTCCTGCTATCTTTCATTTTGCAAGTTCTTCCTTTGCTTCTTTTGCAATGCCAATACACTTTTCCTTCATATAGTAATTCAAACCTCATGCAGAAATTACTCTGGGCCTCTGTGGACTGTTAGAGAACAGAATTAAAGCCACAAACCTGGTTGACATAAATCTGAACACGGTGTGTATGCCATATAGGGATGATAAAACTTTCCTTACAACAGTCAAAAGACAGGTGGCCAACAAGTACAAAGATGCAGGTTAACAATGTGAGGAATTAAGGCCTTTGTAAAAAGCCTATTAAGAATCCCAAGTAAGATGGGAAATAAGGTTAATATATGACCAGTTTTCACAATTAGTGAAAGATTCCAAGTCAAACATGATGCAAATAAAGTCCAGTTTGGCTCTACAAATCTTCTCTCCCCTTTCTATATCCTGGAGCCTAGGAAAGAACTCAGTAATACAAATTTGTTATAAAATAGCTACTTTAAGCTCTTAACCCACTCTTCTCCCTGCTTTATAAATCAAGCTGACATTTATGAAGAAGTGTAGGATTTATAGAGAAGGTAGAGTGTAGAAACAACTGCCTTAATAGAGTCAGGCTTGTTGTTATCTCGCATAATGAAGTGCCTGGCAATCCCAAATAGCAGAATGCTCAGACGAGAGGGTTACTGCTGAAGCACAGAGCAAGCACAGCTGCACTGGGTYCCTGCAATGCCACCAGCATCTGCTCTATGGAACATCTCATGTTCGTGGTGAGGGAGACCAGACTTGAACTGCCGCTGCACAAGTGTGCACTTGTGTTGCACTGTRCTGCATGCTGCCTGTTTGCCAGTGTATAAATACTTCCACAGCACTGAGTATGGAGATATGCAAGTTATTAAAGTGAAACCAAACCGAACCCATTCCRAACTGCTAATATTTCAGGCACTGCAAGAATTGACTCTGCATGTGCAGGGAGGGGTTTGGACTAGATGATCCCTAAAGATCCCTTCCAACCTTAAGGATTTTATGATTAAAGGCCCATGTCAGCTCAGGTCAGCACTGAAGGAGACCGGACAAGCTTTAGGCAGATACGTACTAGCCACAATGTTGTAAGCCTAGTCCTGAGACCTCTCTGCTGGCTTCAGTTTATGCCATCTGAACATGTCCTATGARCACACGGACCTGAGCTAGACCTGGAAATATAAAATATACAGGCATAGTATTGCCATYCACACCAAATTTTGATTGAATATTATAGTGTTAGAAGAACCAATCACCAATATTTTTATGGAAGGCATGGCATACAAACTTCAGGCACAATGTTTTTGTTTGTTTTTGAGGAGAAAAGGCTTCTGGGGTGTCCRGCTGGCAACAGTAGCTTTCTGATGTTGTTCCCAAATAGCAAAGAAAAAACCCTCAAAGACTAGAACAGAGAAATTGAGCTTGTCCTTATGAATAAAAGAGCCTCTCCTTACAAGGAGAGAGAGCAATCATAGAAAAAAAAGTAGTTAGAGAAAGAAAAGTTCATTTGTGTCAGGGAGGAAAAAAAGAGAGGCTACCATAATTGCAAAATACTTTACTTATCGCAAACAAAAGCTGTGATAACAACATTGCACAACACCAAATTTTAATATTCCCTGGAATTACTTTTCATTATGATTTTTGTTCCATATAACTTTATAATTATATTTATATTTTACATTATGACAAGAGTAAATTAGTTACAGAAATTGAGCTAAGTCAGATGTAACCTGCCAGATCAGTGATGTTTCATTTCCATGTTTCAGAGGGCAGTCACTTAGCAGTCATCTCCACTCTGAAAGCTTTTATCAGACTCAGTGATTGGCTAACTATGCAACAGAGTGATCCTGTCTGAACCAATACATCTWTTCTGAACAATTAGATGTGCACAGGAATCCACAGTAAATGTGCTTTTAGCATATTCCACAAAATGTAGGTAGGGATAACGAATTTCATTACGTCACTAGAACAACGATTCCCGTCCTTATAGAAGGCCCCCAGCTAAAAGGCAGACAAATGACTAATTCCTGCATTGTTAGACCCAGTGCTGAACAGCCTGGAGGGCGGCAGTGAAAGTCCTGAGTGCAGGATGAGTCCCTCTATGGGACATGAGGAGGGACCCTGCCTCCGCRTTGAACCCTGCTTCCTTCAGCTGCTTTGCTACTTCCTCCACATCCCAGCCTCCTTCGTCCTGCTTGGCCAGCAGGTGTTCGATAAGGGGAGGATAGAGAGCCGTAGACACGCACTTCACCACTAACTTTGCACTGAGGAGCAAGGAAAGTATTTCGGCGTCACAGTTGGAATCATCAACCTACAAAGAAAAAACAAACCACAATAATTAAAAATGAATTACTCAGTACATCCGTCGAAGAGAACATATCGTGACTGCTGTAACTGCCCAGCCTAGCCCTGAAAACGAGATGATAAAGTGTTCTGAGTGGATTAACAACAGTGATGCACACCTTGCATATTTCAAAACATTTAAAGGTATTTAACATTATTATATTAATGCAAAACTTGGCTYGCATATTACTTTACACTAAGGAAGAAAGATGCTTAGCTACTTAAAGATTACATGACAAGCTTTATAGATTTTTGACAGGTTCTCAGCACTACGTGTAGAYGGTCCACACCTTTAACTCCATGTGAAGAAAGATGCCGAGATGAGTCAGATCAGAGGAAATTAGATACTTTATTGACATGMCATATTGCACTGTAGGTAGACAACATTCTCAGACTCAACAAGCTTTTCTAAAGTTCCAGCACTCACAACAAAGATCAAATTTTACAAATTATGCAGCTTACTTTAAAAAGATTTGGAGCAAATCTCTCCTAGGTGCCTTAATATGCAGGTCTGTTTTAATCAGCGCTCTGTCAGTTCAAGTGCAACAAAACAACATCTCACAACTAAACAGCCAAATGAGTGGCAGATGAYGGTCATTTTCCTAAGACTGCATACACATCCCATCAAATAACAAATACACTAATCAAATTACTATATTTATACTATTTTTCACTTAAAAAAATCCCCATTTTATTTTCTAAAGCACTTGTGCTTTAGAAACACTACCTTACAAGACTGATAGCAGAGTATCTGCGAGTAAAAGCAATCCTATGATCCTCTGATTTGGTACCACTTTTGAAGATTGGTTCAGCTGCCACTGCTGAGGGAGCAGAGGAAACGACTACTATGTACCCAGAGATTCAGCACAGACATTTGAATTTAAGACTCTTTTGATCTAATTAGCAACACAAATCATTTAATCTTAATTCTTTTCAGRACAGCATCTAAAGCTTTCTTGCCTCTCTCTCACTCAGTTCTAGCTATAATAGCACAAATGTCTTAATGTCTTCATGTTCTTGGTACCATCCACTCTCCAGAACATTACAATGAGCTCTTTGTAATCCCACAGGATTTGCACCACCATTTTTCAGAGTAAGATTAATAAGATGATTTATTATTATTATTATTATTACAAGAAGTTTAAACTTACCTATGATCTATTAATCCAGAAAAACAAATTTGATGGTAAAAATCTCAGATGTGTATACCATGAGACCACGCACACCACTGAACTTTGGCCATCAAAGTACAAATCAGAACAAATACGTACTGAATGCACATCATGACAAGACTCTAAACTTTGGCACCTAACTTGCAGGAATCAATACTCCATTTGTATGCACAGGAACACAGAGAGTTCATAAGAAACTATTAGCAAGCTCCATTGAAATCAATGAGAAATCTGMCACAAACTTCAAAAGAAGCACTTCCTTTGAAGCAACCACAAATGCTTTTAGAAGAAAAGTACTTATTGTATCTAAATACTTTAGACTACAGAGTGTTAAGGAAGTTTCTCTTCTGTTAAAAGAGTTGAAAAGTCATAATCATGACAGAAAGGATGCATATGATAAGCCAAGGAAATTGAAGAAATTTTTAATTTATATTTTGGAAGAGATGCACCCTTTATAATATTTAATATAAACAGGAAAGAAACCAAACATGAAATGTTGCAGTATGGAAATGTTGTAGTATGCTATATTTCATCCAGCAAAAATCCATATATAAAACATTCCAGGCGTAGCTATTCTCTAATTAAGCAATTTAACCCAATTAACCAATATTTGCCATCCATAACACATGATCATTACTTTCCAATTATTATTTTCGCCTCCTTTGGAATTTCAGGAGTCCATCAGAAAAAAACAAAACAAAAAACAAATAAACAGAAAACCCCATTGATTTATCACATTAAACATGAAAGGTTTGCAAAGAGATTGCAGTTTTACCTTATTTTATCCTATTTCTTCCAGTAGGTCCTTCAGGTATTTTTCTCTTCTTTCCATCAAAATTTTAAAAGATAATTTTGATTTCTTCAAGTCTTCAGCATTTTCATAATTAGCTACACAGAAGACTCTTATGCTAATGCAATAATGCATAGTAGCTCTAGCCCCAGTTTACAGAACAGGTCCCAGAATGGTGGGGATGCCCATCCACTTTAAGTTGCCCACTCTTTAAATTCTTAATTGCTAATCAATACTCTAAATTTCCACATGTTGTTATTGGCATAATTTCCTGCCAATCAGACACACTAAGTAAAATTACTAATGTTGGCATCATATAGCATACCACCCAGTACTCTAAACTGTTATGCAGCCAGATCGCTGCTTTTCTGAGGTGGAAGATTGGAGGGATATTCTGCCCTACCTCTGAGCTCCACATGCTCTATCCTAGACCTGTATGGAAGACTCAAGTTTAAGAGGTGATGTAGTATTTTATTTTATGGAGAAAAACAAGCAAACAAACACACACCAATAATTATGATAATGAGATTAACAACAGGATGTGACATTTGATTTAAGTTAGTTTTTAGGCTATTATTCAGCCAATAGAAACACTCTAGATTAGTGAAATTTCATACACTGAAAAACTAGAAACTGAAGACAGACAAGTCTGAAGGTAAAATATCTCYGTCTTGTGTGCAAGACAACAAATCATTTAGACATCCGGCTTATAGATGCCAGTGTACACAGAAGCATAACAACCTATATACACGCACAAACAAGATCACTGAGTCACTGCGCATATATGCAAGAGCATATAAAAAGCTCRAGTGTGCCTGACAGCTCAAACTTAAGCTCAGATACTACAGTAGATTAAACTGGTTCACAACSGTTTCCATTTTCTGACTTCAAGGTTGTCACAAGATCTAGTGAGAAAGATGAAACCTCTGTAATGTTTTATTTTTCTCCACTGTGTGGAGACAGAAGAAGGCAAGAAGATCTGGTGAACACATTTCATTGGGCAAAGAACATTAGTTCTGCAGTGCCTCAGGAAGTCTGAGTGGCATCTTGTGGATGTGGGACAAACACAGAGAAGTCAGTAGTAACTGACGAGAAATTTGTACAAAAATAATCAGCTAAGRAAAATGGAATATCTACTTATTTTTAGCAATTTTGCAACTCTACATCATGCTAGCATGTTATCAGGTGTATATGAAACATACCCAACTTAAAGAAAAAATAGATAGGCATAAATTACTTAGTAGCATCTCTACTCATAGAAACACCTATAATCATATTAGTATTACATATATATATGTAAACAAATTTGAAGATACTTTACACACCGAGTAGCCGAGTTTGGATAATATTGTAAAAGATTAAAAAATAAATGAATTTAAATGCATTTTAAGACTAGGTAAATTTACATTTAATTTTAAATTAGAAAAAWCAACATTAAAGCAAAAACTTAGTAAAGTGATTTAAAGTAGTTATTGATAGCATATATTTAAAACTCTAAAAAATATAGTATAAGGAGGATTAATATGTGAAAATGGGATTTTTGCAAGAAATAACTCAACTATGACTGTAGGGCTCTCCAATCTAGAAGAGGCAGTTTAGGGTGCATATGAGAGATAGCAGAATGAGACTATACAATGATTGATTAAACTTTTTTTCTTTTTTCCATAAATCAAGAACTATGAAGCATCTATTGAATCTTTTAGGATCAGATTAAAGTAGGATTAGAGTAAATAATARAAAACAGGCTTGGGGAAAATTGGAAAAGATTGAGAAAAAAAACAGAGTTTTTAACAGAGAGTTACTTAGTTCACAAACATACACAGTTAATGTAACTGGAAGTCGGAAGAAAAACTTGAAATGTTATTTAAATTAACACACACAGCTGTCAAGTGTATACTAGCATAAACATACCAAAATTAGTCAAAACCTCTCTAAATGCATTATATATTCTTTTTCAAAATATTTCCTTTGACAAATTGCACTGAATTACAGAATGTTTGAGGTTGGAGGGCACCTCAAGAGATCATCTCGCCCAGCCTTCCTGCTCCAACAGGGATACCTACAGCATGTGGCACAGGGTGGCAACCAGGTGGGTTTGGAAGACCTGCAGAGAAGGAGACTCCACAACCTCCCTGGGCAACCTGTGCCAGGGCTCTGTCACCCTCACACTGAAAAAGTTCTTCCTCAGATGGAGATGGAACTTCCTGTGTTGCAGCTTACACCCATTACTCCTTGTCCTATCACTGACCACCACTGAGAAGAGCTTGGCCCCTTCCTCCCTACATTCTTCCCTTCAGGTACTTAAACATATCGACCAGATCTMCTCTCAGTCTTCTCTTCTCCAGGCTAAACCAGCCCAGCTCACTTCCTCATATGAGAGATGCTCCAGTACCTTAATCATCTTTGTTGCCCTCCGTTGGACCCTCTCTAGAAGTTCCACATCCCTCTTATACTTGGGAGTCCAGAACTGCACACACTATTCCAGGTGCAGCCTCACCAGAGCTGAGTAGAGGGGCAGAATCTCCTCCCTTGACCTGCTGGCAACACTCCTCCTCATGTAGGCCAGGATCCCATTGGCCTTCTTGGCCACAAGGGCACACTGCTGACTCATGGTTAACTTCATGTCAATCAGGACTCCCAGGTCCCTCTCCATGGAGCTCTCTCCAGCAGGTCGACCCCTAATCTGTACTGGTGCCTGGGGTTCTTCCTCCCCAGGTGCAGGACCCTGCACTTGTCCTTGTTGAACCTCATGAGGTTCCTCCATGCCCAACTCTCCAGCCTGTCCAGGTCCCTCTGGATGGCAGCACAGCCCTCTGGAGTGTYGACCATTCCACCCAGCTTGTTACCATTCAAACTTGGTTCAGGGTGCACTCGTTGCCCTCATCTAAGTSATTGATGAACAGGTTGAACAGCACTGGGCCCAGTACTGACCCGTGGGGGACACCACTGGTCACAGGCCTCCAACTGGACTCGGCCCCATTTATTATCACCCTCTGGGTATCTTCT